CTTGCAGGAGGATCCGAGTCTGATTCCTGGCACCCTCCTCTGACCTCAGCAGGGGCAAATATGGCCTACATTCACACAAACACATACACGTGCATATATTTTAAAATTCTTTTTAAAAATAAAAAGAAGGCCGGGCGGTGGTGGTGCACACCTTTAATCCCAGCACTTGGGAGGCAAAAGCAGGCAGATTTCTGAATTCGAGAGTTCGAGGCTAGCCTGGTCTACAGTGTGAGTTCCAGGATAGCCAGGGCTACACAGAGAAACCCTGTCTCGAAAAATAAATAAATAAATAAATAAATAAATAAATAAATAAATAATAAAAATAAAGCAAAAGAAATGTTTGTTTCTAGGTAGAAAGATTACTCAATGCATAATTAGCAAATATCCAGAGAGACCTGCAGTAAAAGAGCTTCCTTCTACCTAGGAAGATAAAATCTTTGAGCTTCTTCCAGTTTGTAAGGGATCAAATTTACCCAACATAGATTTATCTAATGTATTTCCTATCCAGAGAACATCCAAATACTTTGGAAATTATTTTTTGTGGCTGTAGCTGTCGGGAGACTAAACATACATTCAAAACTATTCTTCAGCGGTGATGGAGTGGTAGGGCAGCTATGAGGAGGCCTACGTTTGATTATTTATTAGAAGTTGATCTTTTAATTTCTTTTGAGAGAGCATGAAGTGAAATTTTCTGGTTTCTTTAGCAATTCAGCTGTGTTGCATATGTTTCTAGAAGCTGTCTTGTGAGAGGGCATGTGATGTCTAGGAAGAGCATGAATGGAGCCCCACAGACAGTGAGGGAAGACGCTTGCCACTCGCTTCTTCACTGGTCTTCGCTGGTCTCCACTTTGTAGAGAGAAACAAACCAAAGAACTTCTCGTGCTATTCCAGCTGATTATGGCCCTTGTGCTGACTCATGCTGCTTTGGCAGAGCCTTGCTCTTTCTGTTGGATTGAATCACTACTACTGATTCATGGTTGGTGTTTGCTATTGAACTGGACTGCCAGTATCCTGACAATGAAGAACGGAATCATCCCAAGGAACTACTTCTGAACAGATCCACAACCCTCTTTTCCTACTAACCTTCTTTCTCCCCTACCTCTGGTAGGTGGCCTAGAAGGAAGGTTGAAGTGTTTAAGAACCCTAAATAAAGTAGGTTTTGAAAAAAAAATCTAAGCCTACAATAGTGTCTCACTACATAGCCCAGGCTGACTTTGAACTCATGACAGCTCTTGCTTCTATCTCCCAAATACTGAGAATATAGACATCATCATACCAGCCCTAGGAGTTCTTGATCTTGACCCTACACATATCTGGTACATATTTTGGTATGTTGGTTTGTTTGAGACCAGGTGTCATGTCCCAGACTGACTATGTGGTTGAGGGTCAATCTGAACCCCTGTTCACCCTGTTTTTACTTTGTCCTTTGCCTCTCAATTACAGGCATGTTCTACACTTGTTTTGTTTTCCAGACAGGATGTTGCTGTGTAGCCCAGGTTGTCCTGGGACTCATAGTTCCCTGCCTCAAGCCTCTCTAGTGCTGGGATTACAAGCACGCACCATCATGCCTGGCACTTGATACATGTGCTGGTTAGTTTTTAATGTCAACTTGACATAAGCTAGAGTCATCCAGAAAGATGAAAATTCAAATGAGAAAATATCACCATAAGATTGGCTTATAGCAGGAGGACTGGAGAAACGGCTCAGCAGTTAAGACTACTGGCTACTCTTTTTTTTTTTTTTAAATGTTCTCTCTCTCTCTCTTTTTTTTTTTTAAAGATTTATTTACTTTATTTATGAGTACACTATAGCTGTCTTCAGACACACCAGAAGAGGGCATCAAATCTCATTACGGATGGTTGTGAGCCACCATGTGGTTGCTGGTATTTGAACTCAGGACCTCTGGAAGAGCAGTCAGTGCTCTTAACCGCTGAGCCATCTCTCCAGCCCAACTGGCTACTCTTGCAGAGGTCCTGAGTTCAATTCTCAGCAACCACATCATGGCTCACAACCATCTGTAATGGGATCAAATGCCCTCTTCTGCTGTGCATGAAGACAGATAGACTAATATACAGAAAATAAACTTAAAAATATTTTTTAAAAATTAAAGGGCTGGAGAGATGGCTCAGCGGTTAAGAGCACTGACTGTTCTTCCAGAGGTCCTGAGTTCAATTCCCAGCAACCACATGGTGGCTCACAACCATCTGTAATGGGATCTGATGCCCTCTTCTGGTGTGTCTGAAGACAGCTGCAGTGTACTCATACATAAAATAAATAAATAAAATCTTAAAAAAAAAAAAAAATTAAAAAAAGTGTTGGCTTGTAGGCAAGTCTGTGGGGGCATTTTCTTGCCTAATGATTGATATGTGAGGGTCCTACCCACTGTGGGTGATGCTACTCCCGGGCAGGTGGTCATAGGTTGTATAAAAAAGCAAGCTAAGGGGTTGGGAAAATGTCTCAGTGGTTAAGAGTCTTTAGTGTTCTTGAAGAGGGCCATTCCCAGCACCTATGTGATGGCTCCAACAGCATCTTCTAAAGTTGATAGACTCATGCATATATGTGGTATATCTATGCACACTCAGGCACATACATATGCATAAAATGAATAATTTTTTAAGACAGGCTAAGCAAGCTACAGAGAGTAAGACAGTAATCAGAGTTCCTCTATGGTCTCTGCTTTAGCCCCTGCATCCAGGATTCTGCTTGAGGTACTTCCTGACCTCCCTCAGTGAGGAACTGAGGTCAGGATATATAAGGCAAGCAAGCCCTTCCTCCCCAGGTTGCTTTTGGTTGTTGTGTTTATCACAATAGAAAGCAAACTAGAACAGAATTGGTACCAGAAGTAGGGTGTTGCTGTGAATGGCCTGGCCATGTTAGAGGGAGTAATGAAGAAAGATGTGGAGGCTTTGAGCTAGAAAAGCTACCGAGTGCTCTGAGCTTATGGATCTGCTGTTGTGGGAGGTTAGAAGGTGAGAGTATATCGCAGTGACGGAACCATGTGAAATTACAGAGGGAACCAAGGATTATCAGTCAAGTGGAAACTTCTTTGGCGAGTCAGTTGTGTTGGATGGTGTTTTGCTGGGACAAACACATGAAGGAGTACAGTTTCCTGAAGTGGACACAGGTGTGAAAGACTAAGGCAGAAGACTCATGAAGGAACATTTCACTGAAGCAGGCACAGGAGAGAGGATGTTTTGCTAAAGCAGACACACAATGAAGGATTCTTTGCTAACGACACGCATGTATTGGTCTGCCTACATTGCGTAGTTGAGCTGCATTTGTCCAGACTGGGGCCGATTGGATCCACGTGCTGAGGCAAAGCACATGCTAAGACAAGGCACATAGAGGACACGTGATGTTGGAGGATATAAATAGGGCTCGTGGAGTGATGGAGACAGAGCTTGGCTTGCTGGTACAGTTAGCTGTAAGAAATGCTTGTGGGTCTTGCATCTTCGCTTATCTTTGCTTCCCTGAGAGAGGCACATGGAAGAACTTCTGGTGTTCCTGTTGGTGTTCCTGTTGGTCCCTCCTGCTGACTTGAGCCAAGGCTGAGGCCTGGCTGTCTCTGCTAGGTTGTGTCACTGCTGTTGTTATCCTGACTGGACTGCTGGTATATCCCTGAGGTGTTTGTGAGTGGTTCAAGCTGCTGCTGCTAATCTGTGAACTGAACTGCTGATTTCCAAATAACACAGACAAGAGTTACTCTAAAAACCTTTCTAAACAGGTCCACTATCCCTGTATCCTTTCTTTCCCACTACCTCTGGTGGGTGAAGGGCTACAAGGGAAGTTAAATTATTTAAGAACTACCATTAAAAATAAGGTTTGAAAAAAAATTAAAGTTATATATCAGGACTCTTCAAGTGATATTTTTATTAAGAATCTGTAGTTTTGGTCAATTGGGGCTAAATAATAAGCTATGATTAACAAGAAACCACTACCCCTGATTTGAGCAGCTGAGGTTTGGCACCAGGTATCAGGGTTGGAGCCTGGAGGGTTTGTGATGTTTTTACATTCCTTTTTGGGTGGGAAAGATGCCAATAAACCACTGCACGTATATAAAGGTCAGAAAACAACTTAGAGAGGCCAATTCTCTCCTTCCACCATGTGGATTCCAGGGATGAAAGAGGTCATCACACTTGGCAGCCAGGGCCTTTACCTACTGAGTCTTTATACCAGCTCCACCTTGGTTTTTGAGACAGTCAGTGGGTCTCTCACTGGACTGGATTTCACCAAGTAGACTAGGTTTGCTAAGCCAACAAACCCCAGGGGTCCTCCTTGGCATTGGGATTACAAGTTGTCCCACTGTGCCTTTTAAAAAAAAAAAAAGTAGGTTCTAGGAATTAAACTCAGCTTTTAATGCTTACCTAGTGAGCTCAGTCACAGACGGAGCCATCTTGCCAGCACCTAGAGTTCACTTGTATTCATATCTCAGTCACTCCATGTAAGAAAGTGGGATCTCTTCTAGTGTTACACCTAAGTTCTCAGTTAGAATACAGAAGTCTTTTTAAAACAGATTTCTAGGGCTCAGAGGGCAAGTCCATTCTTGCAGAAGATTCAACTTCAATTCCTAGTACCCAACATGCCAGCTCACAACTGCCTATAACTCTAGTCCCAGAAGATCAGACACTGTCCTCTGATCTCTGTGGGTACTATGTGTACACATTTTTTAAAAATCAATAAATTAAAAAAAGAAAGAAAAAATCCTTTGAGAGCGTGGTATAATTGTTATAGCTATTCTTGTACTATTTGCAAACTGCATGTGAAAAAGCTTGCCATCTCTCTCATTGTCTCTTGGTTTATCCAGGAGCCATGCAAAAAGGAGACTGCAGATTTAGCCTAAAGCTCACTCATAGGGAAAGCCTCCATGAGCCCAGTAAGCAGCGGCTTTTAATGAGTCATGAGATCCTAGTCCCTCCCCATCTGCCACCAACCAACACTTCTCTGGCATGTGAGGAACCCCATCCCCACCCCCCTCACACACCCAGGTCTTTGCCCTGGGTCCAGAGTCTGCATCCTACCTACATATGGCACTGAGAATACCTCAGGCCCCACGCAAAAGACGTCCCTTGTTTTCCAGGCACTGAAGACCACAATCCCTAATTCCTGGCAGTTCCTGAGATCACAAGGAAAGCAGGGTCAGCGAGGAGGCCTGGGGAGAGGCATCCTACACCAGATTTTGTGGTCTGTATTTGGCATGCTGCCTAAGAGAAACAGGTAGGTAATTTGTTGGAGGCCAGAGACTGAAAGCAACATTTTTGCTTTTAGTGTAAATAGTCCTGGGGATCTGGTGTAGGGCAGTCTTGGGAAAAGATTCTGTAAAGGAGAAAAAAGAGACTCCTGTGGCCCAGAGCTGACTCTTAACTCTTCCACATTCAGGAGACCATGAGAGCTACGCTAACACTAGAAGCCATGGCCAGTGTAGAAGAATACGGGCCGAGGAACTGTGTGGTGTGTGGAGATCGAGCCACAGGCTATCATTTCCATGCCCTGACTTGTGAGGGCTGCAAGGGCTTCTTCAGGTGAATGCTTTCTCCCCAACAGAAACAACCCCCACAATCCTAGCAGTCCACCTGTAAACACTGGCACATCTCCAAGTTATGATAGTCTTGCAGCTAAGCGAAACTGCCCCGTCTAGCACCCTCAATACTGCTGACCATGACACAGTCTGAAACTGGTGACATAATAACAAAGCAGGCTAATCATTTGTCCTGGAGACACAGCCTAGTAGTCAAGAGCACTTGTTTAGCACACACTACCTGCAAAGTACTGAGTTCGGACTACACAAGGGTTCCTGAGTGACCTTGTGTTCTCATGAAAATTCTCCAACTACCTCTGAAGATCTTTCAGGCCCAGTTCAGATTAGCCTGTTGTTAAATCAATCTGTCTTTTAGGCCATGTTCTTTCGGGGTCCTCTTATACCCACCTGCATGTTCTCTGCCATCTAAAACCATGCAGTATCTGTCTCTGTCTCACAGACGAACCGTCAGCAAAACCATTGGTCCCACCTGTCCATTTGCTGGAAGGTGTGAGGTCAGCAAGGCCCAGAGACGCCATTGTCCAGCCTGCAGGTTGCAGAAGTGTCTAAGTGCCGGCATGAGGAAAGACAGTGAGTTGGCCCCTACCGTTCCAGGAATCCATTGAGTGTGCCTCTCTGCTTTTGCTCACGTCCACACAGCAGGCAGAGTAAGCATAATCAGATTATGCTTGTTTTCAAAACTTCTAATCTCACTGTAAAATACTTATTTTTAATGTGTATGCTTGCCTGCATATATGTCTAAGTTCCATGTGTGTGTGTGGTGCCCACAAAGGCTAGAAAAGAGTGTCGGATCACCTAGAACTGGAGTCACTGAGGGCTAGGAGTTGCCATACAGGTGCTGAGAATTTAGCCCAGGTTCTCTGCGAGATCAACAAGTGCTTTTAACCCTGAGTTTAAAACATCGCTCCAGTCTCTCCCCATTTCAGTCTCTTTTAAAGTACATGCTTTCATGCATATCCCCTTTGAGACTTTGTCTCGTAACCCTCTTCAGTACATTCCAGCCGCACTGGCCCAGTGCTATCCTTGAGCGTGTATATCAGGCACACTCTTCCCCAAAGCTTTCCCATTTGCCATTCCCTTGCCTGAGATGCCTTCCCCTTAGATTTTCATGACTTGCTTTCTCTCTTCTATCACTTACTACCTATCTCCTCATAGGCACTTCCTAGTTAGTTATTGCTGCTTTCTCTGTGACAGGTAACTGTGCTATGCTTCCAACAGATAACGAGGCTGGTCTCCCACAACTTAAGTTGTCTGAGTCAGTCAGCTAGAAAACAGAATCACACTTCAGAATCAAGCCTGTCTGCCTCTCAAACCCCTGCTTTCCCCTCATACTGCTTTTCTACGTGGAGCAGTGGGAAGGACACTGTAGAAGCCAAACGGCCCTGACGGACCTACATCACTTATTGTACATGTTACTGTAGACGTGTTACTGGAGTCTGCTTCTGAAAAACATGAGGTCTGAGTTAGAGTTGCTGTATCCACTGACATCTGACCTCAGAACCTTTGAAATTACAATTTATGCAGATACAAAGTGATGTTTCCAATAATAAGACCCCACTTCAATGTCTCCAAGGAGTCAAACAGCTTATACTCTTCTCACTTTATTCTCCACCCTTCCCTTCTTTCCCATGGTGCACTGTTTTCTGCTGAAGCATATCACAGATGCATATGAGGTTGACAGAAGTGTGCAGGGATCCCCCTGCCTCCTGGAGACACTAATTCAGTGAAATCCGAGGAAGCCTCTGAAACTCTTCCTTAGTCCTTCCTTATATGGGGAGATTGAGTAGCCCCAACTCAAAGTGTTGGCAGAAAGATGCTCTCTGATGGTCTCAACAGCTTTGTCATCTCTCTTGCCTGACACAGTGATACTGTCAGCAGAAGCCCTGGCATTGCGGCGAGCCAGACAGGCACAGCGGCGGGCACAGAAAGCATCTTTGCAACTGAGTCAGCAGCAGAAAGAGCTGGTCCAGACCCTCCTGGTGGCCCACACTCGCCATATGGGCCCCATGTTTGACCAGTTTGTGCAGTTCAGGGTGAGAACTTACCAGAATTTGGCCTGGATACCTGAGGAGGTGGCCCAAGGAAAAAGGCTATGGTGCCATGCCCAGATGGAGAACAGGTCTCCAGAATCCCAGGGTGGTCAGGCTCCTCGGCAAAAAATCCTTCTCAGATAAGCCTGGTGAAGCCTAAAGGACAGCCAAGGCGGGGGCCTCTCACTAATGCTCTCAACTCTCCAGCCTCCAGCTTACCTGTTCATCCATCACCGGCCTTTCCAGCCTCTGGCCCCCGTGTTGCCTATGCTCACACACTTTGCAGATATCAATACTTTCATGGTGCAGCAGATTATCAAGTTCACCAAGGATCTGCCCCTTTTCCGGTGAGTAGCACATGGCCTTTCAGGAAGCAAATGCTTTGTAAATCATACCAGTCTTGGATTAAAGTCGCATATCCTTTAGCCTTTCTGAGCGCTAGGGTCTTGAATTTTCAGTGTTAAGTATGCCAGCTGGACCTTTTTGATGGATAGACTTAAGTCTAAAGTGCCCTTGTTTTCTACTCTACACAGGTCCCTAACCATGGAGGACCAGATCTCCCTTCTCAAGGGAGCGGCTGTGGAAATATTGCATATCTCACTCAACACTACATTCTGTCTTCAAACACAGAATTTCTTCTGTGGGCCTCTTTGCTACAAGATGGAAGATGCAGTCCACGGTGAGATGGTAGAACGGTACAGGGTATGTATCTCGGTGGTATGAGGTGTGGAGCAATGGCCAGGAGGCTCCTCAGCCTACCATCTCTCACAGTAGGGTTCCAGTACGAGTTTTTGGAGTTGATCTTTCACTTCCATAGAACACTGAAAGGACTGCAGCTGCAGGAGCCCGAGTATGTGCTCATGGCTGCCATGGCCCTCTTCTCTCCTGGTGAGAATCATTCCAAAGCCGAGGAACTCTGGCCCCACCATCTCTACCCAAGCTCTCAGCTCCTTTAATTCATCCCTGACCATCTAGCTTTCAAACCTAAGAGAGGGTCTATACCATTCCCAGCCCCTGTAAAATGTGAGGCTCCCCATCCATGCCCTATGCCACCTTACTCTTCCCAGTCTCCTATCTCAGACAGGCCTGGAGTTACCCAAAGAGAAGCGATTGATCATCTGCAAGAGGAGATGGCACTGATTCTGAACAACCACATTATGGAACAACAGTCAAGGCTCCAAAGTCGGTAGGTGGGAGGCTGTGGATTTAGAGGCTGCATTGGGGGAAGGAAGGAATCTAAGAAACATTGAGTTCTGGATGAATGCATTTTACTGTTCCTGCCTTTGGGAAACCAGGTACTTAGGAATCTAGACCTTCCCTCGGGCCACCCCATAGCACATAGTCCCGGGATCCAAATTGCTCTGACTGCTGTTTCATCTCACTTTTCCAAGTTGTTGAGTTTTGTTGTTGTTGTTTTCATTCAGTAGAAATGCAAAGTAGGAACTCATGGCCTGTGTGTGACAGCATTCCTGAGATTGGGGACATCCCTCACCTCACCTCTCTGACTTTTCCAAACTAAAGCCAAAATGTCAATGTCTTGTTCATTCTTTTGGCCTGTTCCCCTCCTCTGGATCAATTCCTTGAAGTTTTCAGTCCCATTGGAATTAGAATCCTTCACACTTTCATAGACAAAATCTGTCCCTAGTTCAACAGTGCAGGCTCAGAAGCCTACGCCACCTTGGCTCTGCTCATCCCCTAACGAATCTGTTTGCTAAGAGGGGGATGCTTTGTACTGTAGAATAACACACCCACCTTCTAGAACTCAATCTAGAAGGTTCCACCTTCAGATTCTATACAGTTGAAGTTTTGGCCAAGTACTTCCTTTACACTTGACCTCAAAGCCCTGGGTTCAGGAAAAACTAGGCACAAAGAAGGAAACCAGTGTTGATAGAGGCCCTTCTTGGGGATTTCTAAGATTTTTCAAAATATAGATGTGCCATCCAGAGCATGATTTTGTAATGTTCAGACTTAGCTTCTCTGAGGGGCAGTTCAGGGGATAGGAACCTCAGGACAGGACTCCCAGCTGCCTTATTTCCCTGGTAACCCTGCTCCTTCCTCCGAAGGTTTCTGTATGCAAAGCTGATGGGCCTGTTGGCTGAGCTCCGGAGTATAAACAAGGCATACTCATATGAAATGCAGCGCATCCAGGGACTGTCTGCTCTGATGCCGCTGCTTGGGGAGATTTGCAGCTGAGGACCAGGCTTGCATCCTTTCCCAGACTGGATGGGGATACACTGGACTGGAAAGGGGAAAGTGCTGGCGCCCCAAATGGGAACCAACAGAGAGGAACTCGGCAATGGCAATGAAACACTGAACAGTAACTGTCTCTTCGTGCCGTCATCAGTGGGGCATGGAGTGGGCAGGGGACAGAGAGAAGGAAGTTGGGTGACTATAGGGCCAAAGTTGTTCCCTGGAAACACAGAGCATCAAAAGGAAGGAAGCCTCAGGGCTAGGAGGTGGATGAAGTTCCTTCTGGGAATGGGTGGGTCCATTCTATGGTCTTTCTGTGGCCAAAGATTTAGCTCTTTAGTCCTACCTTCCCAACCTTGAGGGGCCGAGGAATGGGAAAACCAGGAGAAATGGGATAGACAGGAGGCCTTTTTCCTGCTCCTTATTTTCATGCAGATTTCTCTGCTTTGAAGAAGGAGGAGCTAATATCTTAATCAAACAAAAATAATGAAAAAAATGAGGTGAGGGAAGCCAGACACATCCCTTAGTCCTTCTCCTTTTCTCCAGAGCCATAGAGCTTGTGGGAGATCATAGTGGGCTGACGGCAGTATTGGGAACCTCAACCCGCTGCCTAACTGGAAAAATGATTCTGTGGCAGTTCCAGTTCTAAGGAGGATATCGTCTTGTCCCCCACTCTGCCCATGGGACCTAGGAGTCATCCGGCAAGGTGGGCTTTGGAGAGGGACCTAGTTAGTCTCTGACCCTAAGGCATCAGACTCAAAGGTTCCAGCGGCTGTGGAAGCTGCTTCCAGGACAGTCTCAGCCCACAGTGATGCTGAAGCCGCAATGGAATCTGTTTCGCCAGTGATTGAGGAAGGCTCCGAGGGCTAGGGTGACAGGCAGGGGACGGATCTTCTTCTCCAGCACTGCACCTACACACCAGTTACTGTCCACCAAGCCTGCCAGGGAAAAGTATATGACATGGTTGATTAGCAGGACTTGGAGTAAAGAGTTAACAGAAATAAAGCAAAGCCTCCCTCCCTGCATGTCCCCAAATCCCTCACCACGTCCACCTGTCACAAAAGCCTCACCTCTAAACACCATATCGGCCTGGGGCAGAGTCAGGTGGTAACCAAAGGAGAAGGTCGTATCTTGTAGCCTTGTATTTGCCTCAAACTCTACTCCAACCTGAACCTGAGAAGCAGGGACAAGAATGAGAGGAGGACCCATTACCATGAATCCCACAGGAGTTCCAACAGGGTATAAGCAGGCTGGAGTACATGTGTGAAAATGTAGACCAGATGAGGATAGGAAGAACGATAGGCCAGAAGCCAGGGGAGACTTGAGGGCAGAAGATTCTGACTGACTGATTAGGCTGGGGGATGAACTCAGTAGTCTTACCTGTTCGTTTGCCTTGTGATAGTAACTTGCATGGGCCCCACCTGACCCAACATTCAACGTAGCTACCCAGTGAACAGCTGGGAGATGGGGAAGAACAGAGGGAAAAGACAGTTACTGTCGTAGATATAGGGAAGGAACCCCAGAGAAGCCCAGAACCACTCCTCCTCACCACTATTCACTTGGTTCCATACCTGAGTACTTCCCAGCCAGAGTCAAGATGGCCCCCTCTTCTCCTGGCCGCCGGTGATAAACTAGCTCTCCTCCAAGCACAAGCCGATGGGTGATGCTCTGCAGGAAGTGAGCGACCATGATCACTGTCAGGGAGAGAGGAGACAAGAGTCAGGTTCACTTTCTTACCATCCAGTCATTCCCACCCTCACAGAAACGTTCCTTTTCTAATCCCCAAACTGCACTGCACATGAAACAACACTAGTGACGACTTCTCTTTCTTTACTTTTCTTTTCTTTTTTTTTCAAATGGACAGGCAAGAACTCTGTCCCAGTTCCCCACCTGATTCCCCAATCAGATCCGGGTTTCCCAGGGTCAGAGTGGCTGTGTAGTCATCTCCCCGGTACTCGCCGTCAAACTGCCATGTCAGGAACTTGGCCTGCTGTGTCTGGGTGGGGAGAGTAAGAAATAAAATACACTTCTCTCTTTTTATGTTCAGTATTGCCTCTGCTCCTCCTCCCTCTGGGTCCCCCAAGGCAGGATACCCATGGAGGAGAAAGAGAGGTGCCTCGGTGGATGGAGGCAGGAACTGTGGGTCACCTGGAAGACAGCCTTAGCTCGCAGCCGTTCTGCCAACAGAAGAAAGACCTGGGCGTTGAGACTGCCACTGCTGTCCATATCCCCCACCACAGTGGGGAACACCTGTTAGGGAGCGTAGACAGTAAGGCTGAGATGGGTAGGTACCTCTATTCATCGGAACATGAACATGAAGAGATTTCAGTAACACCTCACAGTGCCCCCTGGTGGACGCCAAAGACAAACTCTGGCATCTTTGCACAGGAACAGCTCCCATTCAGAAGAGGCACTGAGAACATAGTTGCTGAACACACATATTTCCTCATTCTCAAGACCTACATCCATGTGGGTTTTACACAGTTGACGTGAGTGTCGGGGAGCCCTCACCTCTGTGGGGCTAAGCTGCCAGTCCCCTGCATAAGCGGTATGGAGGTGGTACCCTGGCAAGCCCAGGGCACTCATATGCACAGTATGAGCCACCTGAGGAAAGAGGAGACAAGGGAGAGCATAGCATTCTATTTCCATTCAATCTTGTATCCCACCCTTGACCTTTTTTTCCATCTAGAGGAGGATTTTTAACACCTCAACTATTCTAATATATGCAGAGTCACTGGATTTTAAGCAACAAGTCTCACATCTTGTTGCTTAAAGGCAAAGGGGGTAAAAAGGAACCCCACATCTTCCCTCACTTGTCCCTCATAGCCTGGCTAAGACTGGACTAATAGGTGTGAAGAAGAGGATCCAGAGACAAGCAGGGAGGAGGAGGAGTAAGGAGGGGCAGACAAGTGGGAGCACCTGGAAATGGCTGCTCAGAACCTTGTTGACAACCAGCTTCACACCTTCCATCTGTGCCGGGAATACATCTGAAGGGATTTAAGGGAAGGAACAAGCACAGATAAGGACCCCTAACCACCGTGACAGACTCCCTTTTCAATCGCATATTGATAAGGACCCCTGAGCACCGAGACAGACTTCCCTTTCAATCGCATATGAAGCACTGGAGGAAGTGACCTCCTTTCAAATCCTGCAACAAAACGCTCTACTTTGAGCATCTGATCCTTCTTGACTACTGGATGCTCCAGCTGTGATCTCCCCTTTCTGTTCACACCACTGGACATCAGCGTTCAAGACCCTCCCTTCTCTACTCCTTCATCCTGAGACACCCAAATGCTGCGGTCTCACCTTTGCACAACCGGTGCAGCTCATCGAAGCTCCCGGGGTTGGGCAGCGGTTCCTCTCGACGGTGGCTCCGGCGGGGTAAAGTCCCCATCGGTGCCAGGCCCAGGGTGTTCCCCATTTTAGTCCAGAGGACAGGGAGTGGCTGGGATTAGCCTGGGGGGGAAATCTATTGCTCCCTCTATCCTCCACGGGCTCCAACCCCCATCATCGGGCTCCCCAGTTTCAGAAACTTCCATATGGTTCAATGCTAGACCTGCAATAAGAAACAGTAGGGAGAGAGAGCACCGATGCGAAAGTTGAATCCCGGGCACACTCCCGCCCCAACGTTGATCCCTCACTCCCACCTGTCACCACCGTCTGCTCTCCCATTATCTAGTCTTAACTACTACCACAGGTTTCAGCTGACTTCCTAAGTTTCTCTGTTCTTCATCCCCACGTCCCAAGGGACTGCCCGCAATGAAACACTAGCCCTTACCATCTCAGATCATCCTGCTGCCTCTTTCCCCTAGGCACACCCCGGTCATCTTGATGGGGGCAGCCATCTTGAGTATTGGCAGAACTGCAGCTTCACTCTATATTCCCAGCATAGCCGTAGGCGCCATCTTGGAAATGGGCAAAGGAAGCGCCCAAAGACCCAACCCACTCAATGATGAAAAAGGTGCCTCAATTTACTAGTGGCCAATAGGAGAGGAGAAAACAGAAGAGTGGCAGGGCTGAAGGTCCTAGCGCTTCAGTCCGAGCTGCAGTGGCAAGTTTGTGAGTAACCCTTAGAGGTTATTCAAGGCCTCCTTTTAAGATCGCCCAGCCTCCTCAAGGTCGAGATAAACTTGTGAACATTCAAGACACTAGAGGGAGCATTTTGCCTATTAGACCACTGAACTTCCTTATACTGGAACGTGAGAAAAATGAAACTATAGTTTGAAGACATATTTTATGAAGAAACACTCAGGGATTGTGGAGACGTGGTTCACCTTACTCTCCACCTTCCTGAAAGTCTCTAGAGAATCCCCACAATTCTCCGCTATACACCTCCAAAGGACTGCTACTCACAAACACAGCTCTCCCCTAGAGAACAGAACCCTATCCCCACACACACACCTCCTCCCTCTGGAATTCACAGGCCTTGCCTTCTTGTTAGAATAGAAATGGTTGTGAGAGTTTGAGGGAGGGGCGAGAGTTGTGGGCAGAACTAGCTTCTGAAGCAGCTACCCTCTCTAGTTATCGTTTACTTGCAGAAAACACAAATACAATCTAAGAATACAACAACAGACTGAAGTTATGCTCGTCCCCCCAGGGCCGGGGGCAGGCAGTAATGTGACACTAGAGATAAGGTCACAAGAGGACAACTGGAAATTTGCATGATTTCTTGGTCTTTGGGGTTAGAGAGGTGGCTAAGTGGGTAAGAGCACTGGCGGGGCTGGTGAGATGGATCAGATGCTTCCCCAAAGTCCTAAGTTCAATTCCGGGCATTCACATAGTGGCTCACAACCATCTCTAATGGAATCTGATGTACTCTTCTGTCGTTTGTAGTCATACCTGCAAATAGAGCATAAAGAGACTCTGTGTGTGCGTGTGTGTGTGTGTGTGTGTGTGTGTGCGTGCACACATGAGTGAAACTACTGGTTGCTCTCCCAATGGACCCAGGTTCGAATCATAGCACCCTCATGGCAGTTTATAACTGTAATTCCAGTTCCAGAGAATCTGACACTCTTACACAGGCACAGGTGGAAGCAAAACACATAAATAACATAAATTTAAAAGATTACCTGGTTTTTCGGTTGCACCCTCCCTCACTAGCTTCCACACTTCCACCCCCATATCTCTCACTAATGTTCCCGTGCACACAGGGTAAGTTTAGGGGCAAAAGGGTGAGTGATAGGAATGCTTTCAGTATCTACTTAGCTGATTCCACTGGAGAGCTCTAGGCCTAGGGAATGTACCTCTGTCCTTCCACACAATTAGAGCTGGGCCAGGGGCCAGGACCTAACTGATAAGGGGATCAAATGGCCAGGCACCTTTGACCTTTATTTGGACAGAGCCTCTTAACCACTGGGGTTGGGAGCAGGAGGGCAGAGGCTATTTTTTTGAATTTGTTTTTTGGGGGGCAGGGAGTACACATTGATGAGAACCTATAAATGGACTTATATTTCATGATTATTTTAAAGGAGTTTCGTTCACAAAACCTATCAAATGCAATAATTCCAATGCATTTTCTCTGTATGTTTTTGTATGTCTGTGAGGTGTGTGTGTGTGTGTGTGTGTGTATGTGTGTGTGTGTGTATGTGTGTGTATGTGTGTGTGTATGTGTGTGTGTGTGTGTATGTGTATGTGTGTGTGTATGTGTGTGTATGTGTGTGTGTGTGTATGTGTGTGTATGTGTGTGTGTGTGTATGTGTGTGTGTGTGTGTGTGTTGATCTTCTGCACCCCTTCCTGTCTCATTACACATTAACTCAAAAAGAGACAGAGGCAGTTGTACCTGTTCTGACGTGTATCCCCATAACCCCCATTCCCTTCCACCTCCTATTTCAATTCATTTTCCTTCTTTTTTCTTTCTTTCCTCCTTTCTCTCTTTCTTTCTCTCATTCTTTTTTTTTTTAGACAGAATCTCTCTATGCAGTCCTGGAACTCACTATATAGATCAGGCTGCCCTCAAGCTTACAAAGATCAATCTGCCTCTGCCTTCCCCCGTGCTGGGATTAAAGGCTTGTGCCACTATGCCTAGCTTCTTTTTCCTTCTGTTCCCAAATACCTCTCTATCAAATTGCTATGAAGGGGTGTAGTGTTGGGGAAGTGAAATTTGTTCATAATGAGGTAAAGATGACAAGGGCTAAGAGCTTCATGTTGGAGCTTTCCAGAAAATAACTTAGAATCCTGATAACCTGATTGATACATAAAAACCCATCAACTCCTGATCCCAAAAGAATAAATCATAAGCAGACACTGGCCTTCACTAGAGTCTATACCCCTGTGTGTTCGTTGTGACACCAGGAGTCCCTTTTGCTTGTCCTTTTGTCCGTTTGTAAAGCTTGTTTACTCGAGCATGACCTCTGCCCTTCTGGACTTGCCATTCTCTGTATCACCTGATGTGGTGGGGGTGGGGGAGGAGATGTGTATATAGCCCCTATGTCCAGTCAAGCCAGGAGTAGATGTGAAAGACTGCAGCACAGACCCGGTATGAGGGAGCAAGAGCTGTGGGCAACGTGCAAGGAGGAGGGGACTTTAACTGTGGAAACGGAAGGAGCTAAGTTAGAATGAGCATCCTGTGGGGGATCCCTGCAAGGGGCTGAAGCCCATTTGACGGTAGTGTTCTTTCTCACCAGCAGCACTGTTCCTAGGCCACATTCTGCCATCATGAAGCTGCTTGCAATAGTCGCACTGCTGGTCACCATCTGTAGCCTAGAAGGTGAGTTGTTGATACAGGGGAAACCAAAGGAAAGAAGATGCTGAGCGTCTTGGCTGCCTGACTCTTTTGTGTTTCAATAGCCGAGACTCAAGAGGAAGATTATTCTCTTTCTAAAGTCCAAAAAAACAAACCAAACCAAAACCACCAACAACAAAAAATACCTAGCAGGACACCAATTTGGGGAAGAGGCTGGAAGCTGGGGTGGGTCCTGTGAGGTGTGAGGGGAGACCGGGGTTCATTGCTGGCAATCCAAATGCAAAGACTGTGATGCATGTTTGTATAGGAGCTTTGGTTCGAAGACAGGCAGAGGAGCCGGATGTGGGCCTGTTCACTCAGTATCTTCAGAGCATGACTGAATACGGCAAGGAATGGGTGGAGAAGGCCAAGTCCTCGGATATTAACACCCAGGCCAAGTAAGTCTCTGGGAGGGAGCTCAAAGGGCTACAGGACTGCTTCAGGGAGGGAGACCGTTCTCACAGGAATCTGAACTCAGCAGATGGGGTTAGGGAAGCTTAGGCTTAAATTGGGGAGAAAAACTCCTCCCTCACCCTAGATGGGGGCAGCAAGAAGTGGACCCTGGACTCTGATCTGTAGTCTGATCCTCTGCTGCATGGCTGGTCTGTCCACTCCGCCTCTAACAGGCTTTGCTATACCAGGGAACACCAGGGTATATTATCTGGGGACCCTAGTCAGCCTGCTTTGACCTTCATCACCAACAAAGACCTGGGGTCAGTGAGTAGGGCCCGTCACACTAACAACTGGTCCTTCCTTTCCTCAGGGCTTACTTTGAGAAGACACACGAGCAGCTGACACCCTTTGTCAAGACAGCTGGAACTAGTCTGATGACCTTCTTAAGCAATTTATTGAGCCTCGAGAAACCAGCTCCTGCAGCTAAGTGAGATGTGTCAGGACCAGTCAGTCTACCTACCCCAGCTACCCCACTGGCCACCGCTACAGCCCCTCTCCCTACCTTTTGCCTGTTTTCTCCAATAAATGAGGAAGGAGTTAAACTTCGTGCCTCTAGTGTCTTTGGGTGATTGGGAGAAGTAGCAGGGTGGGGGAGGAGAAGGAGGAAGGAATAAGAAATATGTTTCAAAAAGAAGAAGGAGACAAGTTTTGGTGTTGTGGGTGGAGAAAGGATTGAAAAAACAAGCCATGGACATGGCAGAGTTGGGGTCTGTGATTTGTTCCCAAACCCAAGGAGTGTCCCGTGTGAATGACTGTAGCATCACTGAAGGACACTGACCCAAGAAAGGCTCTCAAACAAAATCCCTGCACTTGAGAGCATAGGAAACAAAAGAAACCCTCAGAATTTATTTTATCTTCACCTTTCTATAAAAAGATGGTGAATGTTGTTGTTTTTTGTTTCATTTTTTAAAAAAGAACCCAGCAGTGTGACTCAAACCCCTGTCTTTCCTTTTGAACCTGGGGAACACTGTTTCCTCCATCCCACAATAAAGAGGTTAGGCCAATCCTTTTCTCCCAAAGTACTCTAGTTTCTTGATTCAAAGCCTCTAATTTAGCCTTGTGTGGTGGTGCATGCCTTTAATCCCAGCCTTTGGGAGACAGAGGCAGGTAGATCTTTGTGAGTTTAAGACCAGTCTGGTCTACAGGGTGAGTTCCAAGACAGCCAGGGCTACACAGAGAAACCTTGTCTAGAACAAACAAAAACAATCAGTGCTTGCTTGCCTGACAACCTAGATTCAATTCCTGGGAATCCATATGGTAAAGGGAGACAGCCAATTCTGACTCCTACATACATAGCATGGCACCACTGCACTGCACTAAATAAATATAATACAAATTAGGGGAAAATAAAACCCTCCTGATTGGGGGTAGGGGGCTGGCAAAGTGGCTCAACTGGGCAAAAATGCTTGCGGTACAAACCTGTTGCTCTGAATTTGATCTCTGGTACCCATGGTGGTGGTACCTACTGAACATACATGTGCTGTGGTAGTTTCACTTCCCCTCTAGTAATAAATAAACGAAACTTAAAATCTCTCATGTAACTATGCGCAGTGGTATATGCCTATGGTTTCAGCACTCAGGAGGCTGAGACAGGAGGATCATTTGAGCTTAGGAGCTTGAAACCAACCTAGGCTGTATAAGGAGACCCTATCAAGAAAGAAAGGAAGGAGGGAGGGGAGAAGAGAAGAGCTACATTCCCAGCCCTCCACTTTAATACCCTAGATCCCTACCCTGGCTCAGACCTCATCCTGAACTCTCCCACAGACTGGGAATGGCTCTAGTTCCTTCCAACTGACCAATCTCCCTCAAGATCTTCAGCATTCATAACCATTCCCTTCCTCCTTTCGTTCAGTATTTCTGTTCCTCACTGGGCCCAAAACAGTGGTGAAGAGCACTGAGTGCTCTTCAGAGGTCATGGGTTCAAATCCTAGCGTTATGGATGACTCCAATCATCTGCAATGAGATCTGATGCTCTCTTATGGGGTGTCTGAAGAGTTACAGGGTACTCACATATAATCAATACATTTAAAAAAAAAAAAAACCCTTTGGGCCAGAGAGAGTGGGGCTGGAGTGAGAGGGAAAAGGGAAGGGGAAAAATATATATGTAATTATAGCTACTCAGGAGGCTCTCAATTTCAAGGTCTGTCCGAGCCACAAAGCAAGTTTAAGGCTGGCCTGGAAAATTTAGAGAGACTCTTTCAAAAGGAAAAGAACGCTAGCATTTGGGAGAGAGAGGCAGTTGGATCTCTGTGAGTTCAAGTCCAGCCTGGTCTACATAGTAAGTTCTAGGACAGCTAGAGCTACAAAATAGAAAGACCTTGTCTCAAAACAGAACAAAAAACATGCCCCCCCCCAAAAAAAACAACAAAAATAGTTTAATGGCAGAGTCCTTACCTAGTATGTGTGAAGCCCTAGGTTCAATTCCTAGTGATTGAACAACCAATGTAGAAACAAAAATAAAATAATAATAAAAAACAACTTTTTGTTTTGTGTAGAACAATGTGTAGAGAAGTCAGTGCCCCTGCTTTCAGAGTCTCCTTAAACAGGTTAATACTGCAAAGAGCCTGAGTGTCTTGTCTAGGTCAGTAGGCAGGTATCATGACACAATGGGGAAACAGTTTGAAAATATAAATCATTATACACCGTAGTGTTGTGCGGCACAGAAGATTGACATAAGCATGGACACTCTGGTCATTTCAGGAAGAAATGCAGGGATGTCAGAGACAGAGCTCGCTGCACCTAAGGAGGCTTAAATATTTCCAAGCAGAGCTTCCTGGAGACTCTGGGGAAAGGACAGGTACTGCCAGAGGATTCCTTGTGGAAAACAACCTCCCATTTAAATCCGACTTGTTCCCTTTGGCCTTGCCTACCTCTCTATGAGGTTCAATCTAAGGCCCTTCTTGTTCCCAGATCCCCTGAAAGTTCTCATAAAATCTTCCACAAGGATGTTGTCATGCTCCTCTGTCATCACATTCCTTCTGAATGTTTAGCTTCTCAGCTAACTAACACGCATGCGCTGGATTGATGCGCTCTAGATTGGTGACGATTCTGGGTTAGTCAGACTTCCCCACAAACCAAGCATAATTCAGACACAAAAAGCCACACTGGGCACAGAAGAAATTTCTCAGCTTCTACTGTCTCCAAATACATCTCCACTCCCAATACAGAGTGTGAGAGTGCTCCCTGTTCCAGCTCCGTCTCAGAGCGCCGAGGGACCGAGGGTCTCACCTCTCATCCAGATACAGTGAGCATTCATACGTCAAATGAACAAAGTAGCTCTCGAGTCCTGTTTTCTCAGGAGCTGAGTTTGCCTTACTCAAAACTCTGTCATTACTATCCAGCCGAACGCTTAATCTACCAGTATGTGACAAATGACAAAATGAACCGAGTCAGAGCTCTGGCAGCTTTATTGGCTCGTGAGAGTTGGGGATCAGGGAAGGAAAAGGGAATAAAGCAAAGGAGGATGGAAAAAAAGAAATGTCAGTGCATAAGTCTTTGATGGAGATGGGGACCTGCCAGTGTACATTGATTTAGAGCATAACATCATTATGGGAATAAGATCAGCTAGCTTTAAAAGCACGGAGGTAGCATAGCAATGTCAACCATGAGGGCTGGGAGAGAGTTAGAAGAATGCAACCAAGCACATCTATTCTGAAGCTATTGGGTTGGTTTCTCATGCTTCAGAGTCTCATATGTCTCCTGGTTCCGGGTGCTCAGGCCCTGCAGGAGAGTCAAAGGCTGATCAGGGATTTGAGAGCATCACACTGGCCCCTTCCACTTCAGACTCCATTCCTATCAGGGTCATTCCCAACCCCAGCCTCTTTTTCTGAACCCTAAGGTAGGAATAAGAGAGGTTCACTCACCGTGTAGACAGCATCTGATTTCTGCGGAGATGGAAGGAGCAAGGCATTAGAGACCCACCTTCTTCAGGGCCCCTCACCGTTTTCCTTCCCACCCAGGGAGAATCTGGGTCAAGATCAATGTTAGCTGCCTTAAGCTAGGAGCACGCACATGATTGCTCATTTACCAGTATGACTACAAACACAGTTCAGTGCAACATGCAACTCTCCAGCGTATTAATTGTCACCTCTGTGGGAAAACTAATTAAGGTCGAAGTTCACCATGATGGGATAGCTTCTAGGCTCAGTGCAATATGGGGGACTGACTTTGTTGGCAGGGTTTTTCCTTTTCTGACCTGATCTGGGGAATTCTAAACCCACACTTATGCCTCTACCTGAGGAATGTCACGTAGCCTCAATTAGATTATAGGACCAGTTTCCTTTCTCCTGACAAAGCCTGTTCAGCCAGAACCTGAGATTCCTGAAATGCTTCCCCATGCTAATGTGGTATACCAGGTACCCTATGCCCCCAGCCCATGACCTTTACCCTTCCTGGATGTCCCTGGCCTCAGTCCCCCAAAACTTTATAAGCCTTGAATCACCCTAAATAAAGTTGATCTGCCTCCTGACTAGGTCCTAGTGTGGTCACTCATCAAACATACTCACGGGGCTTCAACATCTCTGCTCCCTTTGCCCCCGTGGACCAAACTGGCCAACGATCCTCGAGGGCGGGGACCCACACACCTCTACTTGATTATTTCCTGTCTGGATATTTTATTTGCAGCTCATCTAGATGGTAGATTGCTGCCCATCCTGAGGCGAGGGGCAGGATACAGATTAACACCTAAAACACACGCCTTCCCAGAGGCATCAGACTTCAGGCTAATGCCCTGGAAAGGTTGAGAACCTGAAAAGAAATGTTGGCGTGCAGATGAGGGAGACTCCATACCTCACGGCTGGCTATAGCTGCCTTTCGGACCTGGATCTGGAGTGGGGGAAAGGCAATCAGCAAAGGAGAAGTTGGAGGCCCATCTCCTTTCCCTCCAAATCATGGGGAACCCTTCTGGTTCCCCTTCTTGCTATCCTCCCACCCCCACTTCTGGGTCTGGTCCTTAGACCACCCCCACTCTGCCTTACCTTGAGTCGACAGTAGAGCAGGGTAAGGACAATGCCATACAAAAACAGGATAGCATCCAGGATATAGCAGAGTTGGGGCTCTCCCAGGGCAGCTGAGGGGATACATGGTGCCCATGGGACCCGGTACAGAGGGAAGGGAAAGGCCATCCCTCAGGGAAGGGAAAGGAGTCAGAGGGTAGGACAGGGCCCTGTGGGGATCCTTCTAAGGGAAGAAGCTAATTCCATTTCTCTAGACTATTGTTTCCCCTCTTGCCCCTCAGACCATGGCAGGAATAGACAGGAAGCATGAGTGTTCTGCTGTAGTAGGACTTAGGTTTACTAGGGCTGTAGACTTCCCTCTCTATCCACCCAAGAGCTCTCTTTTCCGTATTGTGGTTCCTCTGGCATCATTGAGCACTTGGTCTACCTCAAGGACCCATTGGAGTTTACTGGGCTGAGACAAAAAGCAAAGAAAAAAAAAAAAACCAAACCAAACAAACAAACAAAACCCTCAGCCCGCAGAGGGAGGGGAGAGAGAAACAGTGGCAAATTTCAGCAGAGAAACCACAAGAGTATGTCTCTGCTAAGTCCTGTGACCTGTGGCTGAGGGCTGGACAGGAAGGATGTGAGCCGGGGAAGGGAGGGAAGACAATTACTCTATTATTGGTCATCTCCTCAGCCTCATTGCTTTTTGCCTCACCAGACACTTAACAATACCAAGAAAACAAACCAAAACCAAAGTGACTGCTTTTCAAGGCTCTAGAGATGCCATTGGCTCTGCACGTGAAGCTGGATGGTGACCACAGCTCAAAGGAAGGGCCACAAACTAAATCTATGAATTCCTTATCGTGCTCTTCTGCCCTGTTAATCACACTAGGCTTCCGAGAGGGGAAGTTTGTACAACTAAAAAAAAAGGCACGCAGAGCTGAAAGTGATGGCTGTATAACCCAGCACTTGGGAGGCTGAGGAAAGAGCACTGCCATGAGTTTGAGGTCATCCCAAGCTACATAGTAAGTTCCAAGACCAGCCCAGGATAGAGTGAAATCCTGTCCAAAAAAACTGGTGGTGGTGCCATATAACTCTGATCCCAGCACTCAAGAGGCAGGCAGGTGGATCTCTGAGCTGGAAGCCAGCCTGGACAACAGAGCAAGTTCCAAGACAGCCAAGAGAAACCCTGTCTCAGGGAAAAAGCACCCCCACCAACAACAGAAAACAAAACAAAATAAAAAAAAAAGCACCCCTCAAAAACAAGAAAACCCCCAAATCAAAGAGCACAGGAACTGGACATGGTGGCCCCACACAACTACAGAAGGCTAAGGCAGAAGACTGTGAATGACGGCAGCCTGGGCTCTGTGAGCTCCTGCCTCAAACGCTCACACGGGGCCTGGCCTCCAGAGATGGCCCCCAGCCTTATCAGATCAACAGGCGAACATTAGCCGCTGCTGGGACCTTGGCATTGTTGCAGGCCTCAGCTGATGCACGGGTCTCTAAGACCAGGCACTTCACACTGCCTGTCCTCGTATCGGTTGACAAAATGGTGTAGTCCTGCCCATTTTCACACAAGTCAAGTTAACCAAGATTGGCAAACTTTTTGCTCTACAACACTTGCACACGATATTGCATAAATCTCAAAACTACCCTGCAAAAGAAACGTCAGCTTCACCACTTTATGGATGATGAAACCCAGGCACTCAGAAAAGCTGAGAAACACTCAGGGTCAGAGTTAAGCAACAGACTTGGAACTCAAATCTAGGTTCCCTGCTCCCAAAGTCTCTGCTTTTCTCTGTGCCCCTCCTTCCCAGTCATTCTCTGTTTCCCTAAAGTTTAACCCCACCTCTGAAAAAAAAAAAAAAACCTGCTGTCAATCAGCAGTGCTTTTCAAAACTCCTTACTGGGCATGGTGGTACAAACCTATAAACCCAGCATTTGAAAAGAGAAGGCAGGAGGATCAGGAGACCAAGGTTACCCTTAGCTAACTAGGGAGTTTCAAGGCTAACTTGGGCGACAGAGTTCCCCTCACACTAACAGACTACACGGTACGAGATGCTGAGGGGAGTTCACAGGCAGACTAGAACCCCAGAGCTGCTGCTCTTGCTGCTCTTGCTTTGTCTTCTCAGCTGATGATTGGGACTATAGGAGCCGGTGCTCTGTTGCCTTCCATTCAGAGGATGGCGTGGCCCTCGCCATCCCCAGAAACGGTCTTCATTTCTATTTTGACTCCCCTGCACAGACAGGCCCTAGCCTGTACAGAGGGTTTTGTATATAACTAGCTAGATATCAGCTCCCAACAGAGCACCCCATAGTACTGCTGATCAAGAAATGAAACTTTCCTAAAGCTGTTCTCCGTGCCATATAGTCCGTACCCCTGACAAACTCACCCTTTATATAGGGTCTAAAGTCAATATGGAAGGTAAGAAAGGGACAATAAAGAAATAATGGTAGTGCCTGGGTGGGGACCCAACAGGGCTAAGTTCGGAATCTGCCTCAGGCCTCTGCCAACTCGCCCAGGCTAGCCTTCTCCTTCTTCCCCAATTCCTGCCCTAGATTCCCACTCAAGGCCAGCTAACGCTGACCAAAGCCTTCCACTTACCTGCTTGCTGCACCAAAAGGAGCAAGAACAAGATCACGGCTGGGATCATCCTGCGCTGTGCACTGTGCGCTGGGAGCTGCGGCGGCGCTGGGAGCTGATGATTACAGCAATGACAGAACTGCGCAGCTGTGCCCACGAACAGTTCCCTGACCACAGTTCCCTCCTTCCTGTCACGCCTTCCCCCACACTTTGGCCCCTTCCCCTTCCTGTACTACAGACCAGGCAGCTCCCGGAAGGGCCAACTTGGGGAGCTGGAAGATCAGGCCTCTAAGCCTCAGCTTTTTCAGGGACCAACCTAACTCACGGAAGGAGCAGACTTTGATGCTTCGGAAAGGTTGTCTATATGTGCCATATTTAACACCTCCACTACCACCCGCCACTCATACATATGTATGTGGGCACCAAACTGCCCCTTGAGACTCCCTTAGACCCCACCATAACCCTTACCTTCCTACCTGGAACTTTATATACCAGTCTTCATTTGTGTTTAGCAGTTTTATAGATACCGAGAGGGTCTGAGCAGGAGGAACTGAGGGGAAAGGGGAAATGGGGAATGGAGAAGTGGAAAGGGCAAGACTCAGAGAGGGGGATGGAGATCAGCTGAGAAAACTAAGATCTTAGTCGGAGAAATACACTGTAAAAGGCAGCAAGACACCAAGAAAGACACATGAGAGCTGATCTTAGGGGGTTGAAGAGATGGTTCAGCGGTTAAGAGCACTGACTGCTTTTTTAGAGGTCCTGAGTTCAATTCCCAGCAACCACTTGGTGGCTCACAACCATCTGTAATGGGATCAGATGCCTATTCTGGTGTGTTTGAAGACAGCTAGAGTGTACTGATATAAATAAAGTAAATCTTTAAAAGAAAAAAAAGAAGCTGAGCTTAGGGACCAAAAGGTGGCTAATTTAATATCATTTCTCTGTTTCTAGTACATGCACAGAAAGCCTGGACAGCTGAGTGTGAGCATATGCATGTGTGTTTATACATGCAGAGACACAGCCTTGTTTCCCACCAGACACAGGCCTCAAGAAGCAGCTGACAGGCAAGGGAGCTTGAAGGCTGTGCTTTCGTTCATCGGTCTATTTCCCCAAACACAATATCCTGGGTACCTGAAAGGTTAGGGAATGAACTGTTAGTACCAGAGGTCCAGAGTACATTATAATGTCCAAGAAACTCAGGCCCAGAGGCCAGAACACAGTCTATACTGAACAGGAAGCATTTGGTTTTTGCTCCCAAATAGAATCCCAAATCCTCTGCCTTAGACACCTTACTATATAACAAAAGGTCTCATACCTATGATGGCCACGACATCTGCCAGCATGTGTCCCTTAGACATCTTGTCCAAACCAGCCTGCAGAGATGGGGATGGCAACAGTGTTAACCCAAGTTTGCAGAGAAGAGCTCTTAAAGGTCTCATCTAAAGGCCAGTGTGGGAGTATACACTGGTAACCTCAGTACAGGGGAAGATGTTTATGAGTTTGAAGCCAGCCTAGTCTACACCGAGAACTCTAGGCCAGCCAGAGACCGTGTCCGTGTCTCAAAACAAACAGAACAACAAAATCCTCAAATAAGCCAGGCATGGGAGTTCATGTCTGTTATTATAGCAAGGATAGCCCTCACATGTAGTGAGTTCCGGGCTAATTTGGGTTATATAGCAAAACTCTGTCTTAAATAAACAAATGAAACAAAACAAAATTTCACCCAGGAGTTGGGTGTGGAGATATATACCTATAATCCTCACACCTGGAAGGCTAAGGCAGGAGATAGTAAGTTTGACCCTAGCTTTAGCTACACAGGAAGTTCTAGACACACTAGGGGTGTATAGCAAAGTCCTATCTCAAAAAAGCAAGGTACTGGAGAAACTGTTCAGCAGCTAAGAACATGTATTGTTCTTACGGAGGACCCAAGATTGGATCCCCAAACCAACAACAGGTAGTTGGCTGCTGCCTATAACTCTAGCTCCAAGGGGTCTGATGCCACCTTTAGGCCTCTGCGGGCACCTGCACTCATGTGGCACACAGATACACATATACACGCAAGTAAATTAAAAATGAATACTAAATAATTTTAAATAATAGCTGAAAAAGAATAACAAGACTCAACCAAGTTCAGTAAATTATTACTGTGCTACAGCTAGAATCATTGGGATTGTCTTACCAGGTGGGCAAAACCGGGAGCCTTGATCTTACACCGATACGGGCGGCTGCTGCCATCAGACACCAAGTACACCCCAAACTCGCCCTGTCCAAGGAAGAAGGTTGGATGCCCCATTAGTAGGAAAAGCTCTCTGGTACCAAATCCTCTCTGCCTTCCCTTTATACCTCTGTCACGAGTGAGGGACGGCTTCCTTCGCTGTCTGCCCCGGCCACCTACTCTGCCTTTCTTCCCCTCCCCCCCTCACCTTAGGAGCTTCAATGGCAGTGTACGTGGCTCCTGGAGGAACTTGGTAGCCCTCAGTATACAGCTTAAAGTGATGAATTAGTGACTCCATGGATGTCTGAGGAAGGAAAAGGGAGCATCAAGAAACCAGATCCAGCTGGACGGCGCCTTTAATCCCAGCACTTGGGAGGCAGAGGCAGGCAGATTTCAGAGTTCGAGGCCAGCCTGGTCTACAGAGTGAGTTCCAGGACAGCCAGGGCTACACAGAGAAACTCTGTTTCAAAAAGCAAAACAAAACAAGGAAACCAGATTGAAGCTCTAGCCTTGGGCATCCCCTGAAAGACAGCAATCTGTACCTTCAGGGAGACTGACAACCCACATGTAAGTCAGGGAGAATGAAAACAGAACAAATGATGAATGCTGTGAAAGGCTGAGTCTTAAAAAGCTAACAGAAAGGTAGGATTTAATCCGAGGTCCATGCTCCATGGCTACTGGTCGCTTGCAAAGACCCTACCTCTCTTCCCTCTCCCTGTGGCTCACCTTCATCTCCGCTCGTTTAGGTGGGGACACTTTGGCATCATCAACCTTGATCTCCCCTGGAGGCATCTTGTTCAGACACTGTTCAATGATTCGTAGAGACTGGCGCATCTCCTCTACCCGACACAAGTACCTGAAACGATGACACAGACTCAGAACAAGGGGAAGCAGACAGAGGGGTAAGCAGAAGTCTGGATGAAAGCCCTTTGGGAATCTGAAACATGTTCAGCAAACGGTCCTCGGTTTCTCCTGGTACAGTGTCCCTGCTTGGCATGGCTGCCCATATACAACTCACAGTGCCTTGATTCTATCGTTAAGTCCTTCTCCAAATCACCTCTTTTTCTTTTTTTTTTAGAGGGTGGCCTGTACTTTCCCCTCCTTACCCTCTCACATGGAGTCTGGACTGCAGAGTGAGGGAGTCAAATAAAAAGATAAACAAAGAGAAAGGAAGTAGCAAATCTTACTCAGGGTCAGTAAACAGGAAGAGTGCTGGGTCAGGAGGATTCTGTTCTCCACCACTGACAGGGTAATCCCTAACCGATGCTTCAGCTTTCTCAGCTACAAAAGCAGTCCAAACTAGTTTTAAGATGGGATGGAGGCATATGGGAAAAAAGAAACAGCACTCTGATTTGGTATGTGAGGTGCTGAGGAGCAAACTGGGACTGTGAATGCTAACACACACTCTACAAGTTTAACACATTCCACAGGCTCCTACAGATACTAGGAAACAGCAAAGAAACCAGCAAAGACAAGTCAGGCAAGAAGGAAGAACTGAGCACCGGTCTGCATCTTACCTATCATAGCAGTCCCCTCGAGAACCAATAGGCACATCGAAGTCGACCTGGTCATAAACATCATAGGGCTGGGTCTTCCGCAAGTCCCACTGGATGCCTGAGCCTCGGAGCATCACTCCACTAGCGGGTACAACCGGCATAGCATCATCCTCCACGGGAAAGGACACGAATGCTTCCCACCTCCCTCCCCACACTTGGTTATGGGACAGAAAATCTAGGCACGGAGAGGAGAGTACCAAGCACATCTCAAACGGAGACACTGGGATGTAACTCCAGCCTCTTCTACCCAAGGAAGGAAGTTATATTCGCCTACCTGAACCCATAGTTAAGTGCGTCTTCTGCTGATACAACCCCAATGTCAACTGTCCTATTTCGCCAGATTCTATTGTTGGTCAGCATCTACGGATGGAGAAATCCAGTGTGCCAATAATACTCTTCGTGACATTCTCCAAAAGCCTCTATGCTCATGTACTGCTGGATACTAAAGTCCCACAAGCCCTTTTGGGAGACAAGGTATTTTTTTCCTGTCGATGTCTATCTTACCTCCTCCACCTCATCAATCCGAAGAGAGAAGTTCTTGGAAAATTCATAAATGTCATCCATAAGTCCAAGAGGTAGGTCCTGGAAGCCGAATGGTGATACTTGTTACAGCACCACTTCTCAAAAGGACAGCGTTCCGTTAGCCCACACTGCCCTCCAGTGAGCACAGAGGAAGGCGCTCACCTGGTGCACCCCTCCCGGTCGGATATAAGCAGCATGCATCCGGGCCCCAGACACCCGCTCATAGAACTCAAACATCTTCTCTCTCTCTTCAAACATCCAGAAGAACGGAGTCATGGCACCAATGTCCAGGGCGTGTGTGGTGACAGCCATGATATGGTTTAAAATCCGTGTGATCTCTCCAAAGAGCACTGTGAGATGGAAAGACAGGAAGTGATGGAGCTGGAAGGAGGGGCTGGGAAGATGGCTCAGCGGGGAAAGGCCCTTGCTAACAAGTCTGGAGCCCACATGGTAGGAGGGAACTGACTCCCCAGAAGCTGTCCTCTGACCCCCCACACACATGCCTTGATATATACTGTTTCACATGCATGCAAATACACAATAAATAAACAAATATATGTTATCATGGTTTTTTTCTTTTTTCATTTCTTTTTTAAGAAAGAAGTAGGTGGGAGCCAAGGACTCACCCTACAGGTTAGTCTGGGTGGAGTCTGGAATCTACACAGCAAAGCTGAGTTCAGTGCACTTAAGATCCCTGTGTTCAACGGTGGGCAGCAGAAACAAGGCGCAGAGCGTACCTCGGATCCACTGTGCCCGGGGAGGGGGCTGGATGTTTAGCAGCTTTTCCACGGCTATCGAATAGGCCTGTTCATTACACATCATGGACACATAGTCCAGCCGGTCAAAGTACGGAAGGGCCTGGGGAAACAGTGAGCGAATCAAGGTCAGATCTAACAGACCAAGGAGTCCACTGTCTGCTGCCAGAAACCTTCCTCTTGACAGACACTCAGAGTCTGGACGTACCTTTAGAGTCTCAGGTGACCCAGCCAATCAGGATGAAATCTCTCCAAAATCAGTACCATGCTGATTTAAAACTAGCATGAAATGTTTAAAAACTGGCTATCTAAAATGAGTGGATATTTATCATTACTTTGATTTATCATGTTTGACTCTTACCATAGCCAAATTTTAAGTTATCAAAATGTAACTAAACACACCCTTGAAACACACTGCACAAAATTATACAGTATCTTCAAGATACGGATCAACTATCTCTCTGGGTTTGAGGCAGGCCTGGTCTACATAGTGAATCCCAGGATAGCCAGAGCTACATAGTAAAACCTTGTCTCAAAACAAACCGCCAAAACACACACACACACACACCCCAGGGAGGGGGGACGGAGAGAGAGAGAGAGAGAGAGAGAGAGAGAGAGAGAGAGAGAAGGAGAGAGAGAGACAGACATAGAACTATGTATAATCTAATTTCTAATAATAATTTCAGCAATTAAGTCCTAACATTTCCTAAAAACTGAATACTCAGCCCTTCCAAGCCAGTGTACATTGACTTTAGCACTGAAAACTTTCTCAAAGAGTGCCTTATACTTCTTTTTCCTCCTAATCCCTTAAAACAGATTTTGAAGGAGAGAAGGAACCAGCTTTACAGTAACTTTTGCCCAGAATGTCAAGAAAGCTAAGTCCCAGCTGCCTACTAAGTCAGTTCCAGCTTCCAGGAAGAAGGCGGAGTTAAAATCCTCACTGGGACGGCCTGTTCTGGTCCTGGTGTCATTTGTGACGCAGGATGATGGTACAGGAGTTAACCCACAGAAGCTGGGCCCTGAAGCCACAGCTGTTTAGAGGTCCCCTGCACGGAGTCACAGAGCTGGTCTAAGGGCCTTTCTCCAGGGCCTTTCTTCGTTACAGGAAGAAGAAAAACAACCAACAAACAAGCAAACAAAAACAACCTTTGGAACCTGTTCCAGATCCAACTCTTTCAAACCTGACCTTCAACTATTTAGGTCACTCAGTTCTACGACGGCAAACTCTGTCACAAACCTCCTCCGGTCACTCTGACTCACTGAGTGTTTTGAAAACAAACTCAAGAGAGTGAGAAGACACAAGAATCAGCTGTTAATCCCAAAGAGCTGACGTCTCATTCTCCTTTCTCTGCCCTCAGGGACACTAGCTTTGACGCACTCATAGGAGAGGAGGGAAACTGAGGCACTAGAGCAATGATAAAAAGGCTGGCCAAAAATCAGACAGAGAGAAGCCAGGAGGAGGCCTCAGCTGCAAGGTAAGGATGCTGGAAGAACCCATCTGGCCCCACATCCTTCAACACCTTCTTCACGCTCCATCCAGTACTAACCTCAAAGCACTAACCCTCACCACCCTTCTGTCCTCAAGCTTTGGGGCAGCAAAACCACCAAGCCTCAAGCTTCAGCCCAGCCACCATCAGTAGGCCCCTGTTCACCTCCACACCTGCAGATAGGTCTTGTACTCAATGAGCTTCTCGGTGCCTCGGTGCAGGAGCCCGATGTGAGGGTCACATTTCCGCACCATCTCTCCACTCAATTCCAGCACGAGTCTCAGGACTCCATGGGCTGCTGGGTGCTGGGGCCCAAAGTTCAGGGTCATGTTGGTCACCACTTTTTCCTTTAAAATGTCCACATCTGGGAAGCAGGAATAAGTCAGAGCCAGATGATAATTTCCTTGGGGATCCCCAAGGTACCGCTCTCCCACATATCCTCTGGCCCACCATTCTATACTTTGTTAACACCCTCGTTCCAATTACTAGGAAGATGGCTAACAAGTGGGAAAAACGACAGAAAGCTCTGAGTGTTCCAACAAGACAGATCATGAAGTTCATTTTATAGGCCCTACGACAGTGGTGCTCAACCGGTGGGCTGAAATCCCTGTCAAGCAATGCTTTCATAGTCATGTAGACCATAAGAAAACACACATATTTACATTACAATGTAAACAAGTAGCAAAATTCCAGTTATGAAGTAGTAACAGAAGCAATTTGATGGCTGGGGTCACCACACATGAGGAGCTGTGTTAAAGACCACAGTGCTGGGAAGGCTGAGGAATGCAGTGTTAGGAAGGCTGAGGACTGCAGTGTTGGGAAGGCTGAGGACCGCAGTGTTAGGAAGGCTGAGCACTGCAGTGTTAGGAAGGCTGAGCACTGCAGTGTTAGGAAGACTGAGCACTGCAGTGTTAGGAAGACTGAGGACTGCAGTGTTAGGAAGGCTGAGGACTGCAGTGTTAGGAAGGCTGAGGACTGCAGTGTTAGGAGGCTGAGGACT